TCCCACACTTTCTTGTTACCAAGCAGATTCACATAATCTAAAAAAGTATGCAAAGCAGTCTGTTTCAGAATGGAAGCAAACAGTCTGGCAGGAAAATTTGCAAAACGGTTTAACCAGAGGGATCACTATGTTTTTTTTTTCTCTATAACTGATACAGCATATTATTTTAATTCAAGAATCTGTAAAAAATTTAAGTTAAAGCTCATTGCAACACTTGAAGAAAACGTAACAGGGTTGGGGAAATGATTATCAGTACCCGTGCTGTACTTCGTAAATAAATAGAAAGATTTCTTAGACAGCAAACAATGCAACAAATAACTCCTTGCAAGTAGGAAAAGCGGAGGGAAAGGGCATAAAAGATGAAAGTGGTTGTCAAAGAAATATTTGGAAGGTATTCTGGAACAATAGGAAACGCTTCTGAGTCTAAAGAGAGAATGCGACTGATCCCTATTACAGGAGAAAAAGTTAAGATAGTTGACAATTCCTTATTGTGAAAAACTGATACACTGGACTTGTGCTGTCTTTCAGAAGCATGGACACAAGAAAAGCACTTACCAGTATGACTCATCAGATCCACCATGTGGGGATGAGTGATACAATCCAGACTAACTACTATACATCATCTTGGACTTTGAAGTTCTAACAAGATCTAGAATTTGCAGTAATAGATGGTGTTCTATCTGCTCTTGTAATTCATGGAATAAGCATAGGAAGGGGAAAAATACTATAGGCAAATCACTATTTACAAAAATAGTATCAGCGAGAGATTTAGCATCTGAAACTATTTTATGTTTCTGGATGAAGGACTACTGATGGGAGACAGACGTTCTTCTTAAGAACTGAGAAAATTGCTACGATCCTATAGAGAGGGCCTCGGATCCCATCAAAGCATCAGCAACAGGCCTGGGGTTTATAAAACCTTACCCCTGGATGATTGTTTTTGTATTGTTGTTTGTTATGTTTTATGTGTTTTTTATTGTTAGCCACCCAGAGTCCTTCGGGAGTGGGGCGGCTTATAAATTTTAAAAATAAAATAAAATAAAATAAACATTACTGAGAAATAATAATAATAATAATAATAATAATAATAATAATAATAATAATAATAAAGTTGGAAGGGACCTTGGAGGTCTTCTAGTCCAACTCTCTAGTCAGGCAGGAAACCCAATACCATTTCAGACAAATGGCTGTCCAGTCTCTTCTTAAAAACTTCCAGTGTTGGAGCATTGATAACTTCTGGAGGCAGGTTGTTCCATTGGTTAATTGTTCCTACTGTCAGGAAATTTCTCCTTAGTTTTAGGTTGCTTCTCTCTTTGATTAGTTTCCATCCGTTGCTTCTTGTCTTGCCTTCAGGTGCTTTGGAGAATAGCTTGACTCCCTCTTCTTTGGGGCAGCCCCTGAGATATTGGAACACTGCTATCATGTCCCCCCTCGTCCTTCTCTTCATTAAACTAGACATACCCAATTCCAGCAACCGTTCCTTATACTGTATGTTTTAGCCTCCAGTCCTCCGATCATCTTTGTTGCTCTTCTCTCTACTCAACATCTTTTTTACATTGTGGTGACCAAAACTGGATGCAGTATTCCAAGTTTGGCTTTATCAAGGCGTTATAAAGTGCCATTTATACTTCATGGGATCTTGATTCTATCTCTCTTTAATGCAGCCTAGCACTGTATTGGCTTTTTTGGCAGCTGCAGCACACGGCCGGCTCATATTTAAGTGATTGTCCACTAGGACTTCGAGATCCCTTTCACAGTTGCTACTATTAAGCAAGGTACCACCTATACACCTATGGCAATGTCATTTTTTCCCTCCCCTTTTATATTTACCCAAACACATTCAAGACAGTTTTCATCGTTGTTGTACTCTATTTCTGTAGAAATGTAATTATTTCTTATATAGAGAGCAACTCCACTTCCTCTTTTATTTGCTCTGTTTCTTTTAAAAAATTTAAATCCCTCTAGCTGTGTGTTCCATGTGTGGATTTCATCCCACCAAGTTTACGTAATGGCAACCATTTCTTATCTGCCCTCATTTACCTGAATTTCTAATTCACTCTGTTTACTGCTCATTACTCTGTGTATTGGTGTATAGACATTTGAGTCCTTTACAACTGACCCCATGTTTACTTTCTACATAAGCTGTGTGGTGCCTGAGTCCCCTTATTTCCTTACCACTGAAAGGGCAGAGAAACAAGAGGAAGAAAGACGACTATACAGAACAGATTGGACCCTTTCATCGTGAGATTCATTTTCATAATGAAAGATTCCAGGCAGGAAACGAGTTGTAGCTCTTGAGAACTGAGAAAATGTGTTTGGAAGATGCTTCAGAAAACTAATCCAGAGGGCTTTATACTGAAGCCTCTGGGGGAAGGCACTCTGAAAACAATGCAGGACTGCATATTGGAGTGGAACTGATGCACAGCAGTCATGCACAGGATGTGGAGGCACCCAATAATGAGCATTCAAAACAGGAAAGAATGGGTCAAGTTTTTTACCCTAGGTTTCTAGTGACTCTGAACAGGCAACAAGTATGGGAGACAAGCCAGATGAATTAAAGATCTTAATGCCGGAAGGCAGATATGATTTAATGGTCGTTTCTGAAACCTGTGGTGGGATGGAACTTATGAATGGAATGCCAGACTGAAGGGTAGAACCTATCCAAAATAAATAGTCCAGACACAAGGAGAAGAGGAGTGTATTATACCGGAATCAAGTGTACACATTTGCACTAAGCCTCAGGGTTTAGGTTATGTATATTAAGAAAAGGAAACAACTATATTATTGTGAGGATGTACTATAGGCAGCAGAAGATCTGCATATTTCTCCCCGGATCAGATTACAACATTTATAGAAGAGACATATTAATGATGGGAGACTTCAGCTATTCCAACATCTTTTAGAAAACCTACCGAAGGCAGCAATGTCCTCAGCATTTTTCAATGGTCTTGTTAAATCTGTTTCCAAATCACTGGGGGGAAAGTATGTCCTCCTAAAGCTGATCCTAACATTTAATTATTTATTTAATTTCATTAAATTTAGATGCTGCCTCAAAATAAGTATCATCATCATCATCAAAATTAAGAATGAAAGATTATCTCATCAGTGGCTGTAGCAAAAGCAGTCAGAGAACCAATAACGTAGTTAACAAAAATTGTCCACTGGAATTTATATGCTGTAGAACAGGGCTTTTCAACCTTTTCACCCATTGTACCACTTTTAGGATATGGCAACATCCGAGTACCACCAGTCGCCTAGCAAGATGTCAAAAACTTGATAAAGTACAGGTAGTCCTCGACTTACAACAGTTCGCTTAGTGACTGTTCAAAGTTACAACAGCACTGAAAAAAGTGCCCCTCAAGCCACAGCTGAGCAAGACACCTGCCTGCCCACCCAGCCAACGCTCTTCCTCCTGTCCGAGGTTTTCATTGTTTTGAGCATTTCTGTTGAGGATTGGCAGCGGGGGTGGGGTGGGGTGGGGGATTTGGTTTTTATTCCCCCCATCTGCTGGGTGGTTGCAGCAGGTTTTGGTCACTTCACATGACCCTGGGACACTGTGACCATCATAAATATGAATCAGTTGCCAAGCATCTGGACGTAGATCACAAGACCCTGGAGATGCTGCAATATTCCAGCTGATCGGCGCTTCTTCTGGACTCAGCAGAAGTGTCAGGATCAGTGCTGCTTTCCAGCTGATTGGTGCTTCTTCCGGAGCCTGGCACTGATCCTGGCACTTCTGCTGAGCCCTGACAGCTCTGCAGCTCCAGCCATCTCTTGCTCAGGCTTGTGCGGTGCTGCCACCGGTTCAACTCATTCCCTCCCCCCGCTACTTTTCTAGGATGGTCGCGTACCACCTGCCAGGTGCCAATGTACCACAGGTGGGACCCGTACCACTGGTTGAAAAGCCCTGCTGTAGAAAATATGGCTTTAGGGTTTGCAAAAACTACTTCAGGCACTTTTCACGTGCCTGAAAAGGTTTCACACAGTGAGACAAATTTTGTAGGATTTTAAACTTGATTAAAACAATTAAAGCATGATAGACTAAACATCGCTGTTAAGAAATGAAGGTTATAATTTTTTGATGTGTCAGTATTTGTTTATCAAATTGATGATAAACAACTTTGAAAAGTCACTAAATGAATGGAGGTACAGAAAGTCGAGGACTACCTGTACGTTACTTATGACTAAAAATAGGGTTACTATAATTCCATAGTAATTTCCTGACAGTGTGAACAATTCATCAATGGAACAGTTTGCCTCCAGAAGTTGTGGGTGCTCCATCACTGGAGGTTTTGAAGAAGAGACTGGACAGCCATTTGTCTAGAATGGTATAGGGCACAGGTCGGCAACCTGCGGCTCCGGAGCCGCATGCGGCTCTTTGAGCCTTCCCCTGTGGCTCCCAGCCTCCTCTGCCTTTGCAGAGAGAGACAGAGACAGAGAGAGACAATTGTGCTTCCCTGCTTCTCTCTCTCTCTCTCTCTCTCTCTCTCTCTCTCTCTCTCTCTCTCTGTGTGTGTGTGTGTGTGTGTGTGTGTAAAAGAGAGTGCACTCACAGTGTTCTCTGAGGAGCTGAAAATCTTACTGGGCGGAGCTCCTCCCTTTGCTGCGTCTCTGCAGGAAGCAGGAAGGGCAGGAGAGAGCTAGCTAGCCCAGCTAGGCTGACTCAGGAATTCTGGGAGTTGAAGTCCATGAGTCATAAAAGAGACAAGGTTGCTTATCCCTGAGCTTGTTGGACAACAGCTTGAAGCTTGCCAGGTGAGCAGCAGATAGGAGGGGGGGGGAGAAAGAGAAAGAGAGAGGGAGGGAGAGAGAGAGAGAGAGAGAAAGAGAGTGGGGGAAGAGGAGTGGCAGACCAAGGGCAGATAGAGAGGGAGGGAGGGAGAGAGACAGAGAGAGAGAGACCCTTTTGACATCTAAAATGAAGATAACACTGCATATATCCTTTTTTTACCTGTGTTTGTATGTAATTTTATTCTCTTAAAGCATTCTCTTGGTGATCATTGTTTTAATAGTATGGATATTCCCAAGAATCATATTTTTACTTTTATTTTTAATGTGTGTGTGTGTGTGTGTGTGTGTGTGTATGTGTGTGTGTGTGTGTATTATACACACACACACACACACACACATACACACACAAACACACACACACCTATAATAAAGGTAAAAAAGGATATATGCAGTGTTATCTTCATTTTAGATATCAAAAGGGTTTTGCGGCTCCCGGTGTTTTGTTTTTGGTGGGAAACGGGTCCAAGTGGCTCTTTGAGTGTTTTGGGTTGCCTACCCCTGGTATAGGGTCTCCTGCTTGAGCAGGGGCTTGGACTAGATGACCTCCAAGGTCCCTTCCAATTCTGTTACTCTAAATTCATTAGACACAACAGATGTTCAAAAAAGGTTGGTTATTGATCTTATGTTGGAGATGCAATAAAATGCATATACTTTGGTTATACCTTCTGATAGCTGGATAGTATTACTAAGATGGATCAAGTTTCTGGGAGGATATTAAAATTTAAGATCAATTTAAGGATTCCTTCCTTTAAAAATATTATTTTTAAGGGGAGGAATTATTTCCTTACTTCAACAAATCAGTTTTATTTATAAAGCTGTAGAATTATATTCTTGTATTTAATATGTAGATTGAACTGTAATTATTAAAAGTAAGTGATATATGCATTTCTTGTCCAAATATACTCATAATGAAAATGTAATTAATTTGGGGGGAGGCTCACATAAATTCATCTTATCATTTAGGTTGGTGCCATCTAGTGGCCATCTGGATTTCTGCAAACATATACAGCAATTCTAGCAATCTTACTCTATTTTAGATGGAAAGGTTTTTTTTTAAAAAATATTTATTTATATTTCATGTTTATAGTCTGCCCATCTCCCTCAAGCAGGGGCTCTGCGCAGTGTACAGTACACTATAATAGATGCATACAGCTATCAAGTCTACTTCCACCTCAGAGAAAGAATCCCAAAACAAACAATTATTCAGCCTCTATTTATAGCATCCAGAAAAAAGGAGCCCATCATCTTTGTAAGTAATCATTTCCACTGTCAGGAAGCTCTTACTGCTACAAAGATTTTTCTAGCTATCAACTAGAATTCCTGTAGGAGGAATTATTCTGTATTCTGTTATATATATATATAATAATTATATATATAATTGGTTATATATATAATTATATATATATAATTGGTTTTTACAGTAATGTTGGTGCTTAGTAAACAACGTGTTGTCTGGGTTCACATATTTAACAATGATTAATAGTAATTAATTTCTATAATTCCATAGTTAACATGTTAGATAGTAATACACTTCCTTGATCCTCTCTTCTTCCAGTAATATTCTCATTTTACCAACATTAAGCTCTTAGCTTAACTTTATTGCCTAGTTCAGGGGTAGGCAACCTTGGCTCTTTTATGACTCGTGGACTTCAACTCCCAGAATTCCTGAGCCAGCCATGCTGAGGGGAAAGGAAGAGGTTTCCAAGCTGAGCCATGCTGGCTCAGGAATTCTGGGAGTTGAAGTCCTCCAGTCATAAAAGAGCCAAGGTTGCCTATCTCTGGCCTAGTTGTTTATAATCTTTCACTATTGTACTCACATTGTGGTGTCATTCATCCCAATGTGGAGGAAGAAGGGGTAGTAATCTAATTATTTTGGTTAGGTTCTCAGCCACATCTTTGATTTTTGCTCCAGGGAAACAACATACCTCGCTGGATTGTATGTCCGGTCTGTAGATGGCTGATTCTGTTCCTTTGAGGATAGAATCTCTTATTACCAACACTCGCCTTCCTTTTGAGGGGCTGCAGTCTGGTGTGCTTTTCTGTTTATATCAGGCATTTTTGTTGATGTGATATTAAGGTGACCAACTGTCCTTTAGGGAGGACAGTCCTCCTTTTGTAAGCTCTGTCCTCCCTCAAAAAGTGTCCTCCTACATGTCCTCCTTTTAGATATTTGAAGACTAATCTGCAGGGCTTTTTTTCTCTCTCATAGAACACTCAGAACGTTCCGGCACCTTTTTTGATGTTTTTTTCCAACTTTTGCATGAGCTGTGCTACTCCCGCCATTGGCTTTCGAAAGCCAATAGGAATTGCTGCTGAGCGCGCCAAAACACCTGGCTGGCAAACTTTGCACATGCAAGTTGTCTGTATTATTGTTGCAATGAATAAAATGTTTCTTTTATTTACGATATTTTTTTCTTCAATTTATTTGTGTCCTCCTTTTCATCGTAAAAAAGTTGGTCACCTTATTTTAAGGGATATTTGAAGTTGTTTTCTTTGAGGGGGGAGGTTGTGGGTTTGGTTGTTTCCATTCTTCTGGATCATATTTTGAATTATTGTTTTTTCAATGTAACGACCTGCTTGTTTTTACAAGGGCTGAACTGCCCTGTTTGTAGACGATTGCGCATACTGGATTAGGAATTTGAGAAGAGCAGAACAATTGAACAAGGCTCCTAGCAGTTTAGAACAGTAGGAAAAAACTTGGGAGGTTTTCATTTTTCTCAACTAAGTCTGCAGGAATGGGTTTTGGGCAAAAGAAGGCTACGATGAATGCTTGACTGCTTTTACGTAAATCTCCAAACCCAGACTGAACTGCAACTTTAGATGCTGAAGTATCTTTGTATCCAATCCAGCTTTTATCAGCTTCCTAGGGATCTGTTGGAGGACAAGATTTTTTGAGGGGACGGAGGAGGGAGAATAAGATTTAGTTATTACACCTTTGACTTTCAAAGGACATTTCCCAATTTTAATTCCTTTGCAACAGAAACTGACACTCATGTCACAACACTGACAACAGCTACCAAGGACTGGCAGTCCCATGGAAATCTCACTTAAAACTGATTTTCCAATGCAGGCCTCCTGGCTTAGACTTCAGACGGTTTTCCTCTATATAATATTCTGCCCATGCAGCTAATCCGAATAAGAAGCTACACTTCACCAAAGAGGCGGCCCATAATTGATTCGCCGTTGTTCTGAATGTCCTCCGGAGAGGACTGCGGACACGTGTAACGCTGTATGTCGTCCAGGGGTAGGCAACCCTGGCTCTTTTATGAGGCGTGTGGACTTCAACTCCCAGAATTCCTGAGCCAGCAATGGGAGTTGAAGTCCACGAGTCATAAAAGAGCCAAGGTTGCCTACCCTTGAACTAGTCACTTCAACCAATAGTTTATTTTCTTAGTGAAGACAGGCCTTGGGACCCAGCCTGGCTCTGACCTACCATTTTTGGCTTGATTTAGCACTTCTTTTTGCAACCATAGATCACAGGCCAATCAAGCTGAATCTCCATTTCTGAGAGCAGTTTTCTTGATCTTCCCTCAAAATAGAGACATCTGAGGTAACTCCCCAGGACCATAAAAGTGTCCTACAAATATTTTTTCAAGCCTTTTTTCCTAATGTCCAAAACAAAGAAATAAAGGTAGACTGTCTAAATCAGAAGTAGGCAACCTTGGCTCTTTTATGAGGCGTGGACTTCAACTCCCAGAATCCCTGAGCCAGCCATACTGAGGGGAAAGGGAGAGGTTTCCAAGCTGAGCCATGCTGGCTCAGGAATTCTGGGAGTTGAAGTCCACGAGTCATAAAAGAGCCAAGGTTGCCTACCCCTGACGTAGTCGATTCAAGTGTGAAACAAATCTGGAGAGTCAGCACGAAAACCCGAGAGCAAAAAAACCTGAAAACTATCTTGCCCCCCCACACCGGAAACGGGAAAGAGGAAGCCATCACGGGGGGAGGGGCTCCAAACGTCACGCGTCATTTCCTGTTCCGGTTTTCTCTCCATGGTGTGACCTCCTGGGCGGGCCGTTGATAGAGTGAGGACGTGGCAGCTCGGAGGAACGGCAGAGAAGACTGGGAGGGGAACTTCCGGGTAGGGCCCGGCCCAGGAACCGGAAGTCGTCATCGCCGGGGTCGCTGGCTGTGGTGAGTCCTGGGCCGAGCGCTTGTTCCGGGCGCGGGCGGCCCGTCGGGGGAAAAGAAGGGCCACGCTGCGGCTTCCGAGTCGTCCGGCCCGGGCCCACGTTTGCATCCGCCGCCCGGCTCCGACCGCTCCGGACTGGCCTGGACGCCTTCCCGCCGGCTAGCGCAGGAAGCGGCCGCGTCTTCCCGCTTGCCCCTCTCCTGACGGCTCCGGGTGGGAGCAGCTGAGAGCAGCGGCAGCCAGGAGCTCACCTGCCTCCCTTTCCCACGTGTTCGGGGCCTGTTCGTGATGGGTGAGTGTGTGCTGCGGAGGGACTCCCGGTTCTCACGACACGCCGTAAGCGAGAAATGGCTGCGTGCGGAACGGGCGATTTTGTGCTTCAGAGTATCCTGGGCTTCATGGGATAAGAGATATCGCCTTTTTTTTTTTTTTACAGTGGGCACAACGGCACACATCAAAAATGAAATTGAGTTGCCTGCTCTCAAAGTGAAACATACATGACACACACCTAAAACATATATACAACATGTATAGACACACACGCCTGCCATATACATAACAAATGTTGTGTTCTGCTCCTGGCCTAAGCCGAAAGCCGATATATTCCTGAGCGACCGGAGGATTGGGAATCCTCGGAATATGTCCTCTATTCGGTTGTGTAGGCTAGTCTGGGTGCTTTACAGAAATAGCTTTTGTCGATTTATAACAACAACAACAAAACTCCACATCCACGATAGCGGTAAGGGTGCTACACAACCTCTCGGAGGGTCTTGAACCAACCCGGATTGTAGACACAAAAGGTATTTAAATACAAAGTGCAAGTTTTTAAGAAGAGACTGGACAGCCATTTGTCTGAAATGGTATAGGGTTTCCTGCCTGAGCAGGGGGTTGGACTAGATGACCTCCAAGGTCCCTTCCAACTTTATTACATCATCATTATTATTATTATTACAAACCTGTGCATTGTGCTATACGCCAGGTAACCTAGCCACAATAGTTCCATATTTTGATTATATATCTTTTTAGAACCAAGTCTTAATATGAGAATCTAAACATACAATGGGTAGAGTTTTGAATGGTTAGAGTACTTTTATTTTTCTCCACAGCATTTTTCCCCATAAATTTATTCCATAAGGGTGAAGAAGTACCAAACCTTTTGTGAGATGATTATTTTTCCCCAGTCTGAACTTCTCAAAATATTTAAAAGAAATATAATCTGTTAGTATGGTAGTTACAGATATCAGTTATTTCCTTTTGATGTTTTGGATTATCTTTGTTGATTGCATACATACTCACCTATAAGAGTGCACCTTAAAAGAGTTTCCACAACAGTTGCCAAGCCCCCAAATTTTGGTCACTTGACCACAGGGGTCTAGCAATGGCCATAACTAAATTTCTTCATTGAGCACTACTGTAACTTCAAATGGTCACTGAACAAATGATGGTAAGGCAAGGACTATCTTTATTACCTGTTCAAACATTTTTTTTTTCAATTGGAGAAGACTGGTTCAAACTGCAAGTTGGGGAGTTCTGCCTTTTGCTTGTTGCTTATTAGCATTTGTTTGTTAGTTATTAGTCCTGAGCAACTGTTGCATTATAGCATATCTAAAGAAGCCCCTCTTTTATTATTTGCATTCTGAGTTTTTTTTTTCCTCTTCCTATACCAACTGTAGTTATGGAACTCAGATCTGCTCTTTTTCAAAGCTCAATATCTTTGAAGTTATTAAGACAAAGTTTATTAGAGCTACTCTTGCAGTCCAAAGTGTGTTAAGAATACCATCTTACATTTAGAGAAGGGTTTGGGTTTGTGGATGCTAGAGCTTCGTTCGTGCTCCTCAGTTTTTGAGTAAAATTCATTTTCTTCCCCATTGCTTTGGTCCTTAGGGACCTCTTCAGATCAACATGGCTTTTGTAAGACCCTGAAGACCTGGTTTTGCCAATGGTCCCGGAGAACCCAGAGTGGAATAGAGCCTATCAAGTGGCTCATTTGATTGTGTATTGCAGGGATAGGCAACCTTGGCTCTTTTATGACTCGTGGACTTCATCTCCCAGAATTCCTGAGCCAATATGGCTCAGCTTAGAAACCTCCCTTTCCCCTCAGCATGGCTGGCTCAGGAATTCTGGGAGTTGAAGTCCACGAGTCATAAAAGAGTCAAGGTGGCCTACCCCTGGTGTATTGTCACTATGGGGTGGGGGGGGGGCGTATTGTTTTTTACTTTTTCATATTGGGTTTTTATTGTTTGTAAGCCACCCAGAGTCACTGAGAGTAAATGGTTGGCCATATTAAATCTTCTAAAATAAACAAACAAAAATACTGTTAACAAATATTTTAAAAAACCCAGCCTGGTCACATGATGCTTTGGCTTACCATTGCAACAACATACAACCAAAATTCTGGTCCCAATTGTGGTTGAAAGTCGAGGGCTACCTATATGCTGCTTAGTGGTTATCTTTACAGGGACTCTCATGGCTATCCTGAAAAAAATTCCAGGTGGCGAGTACAACTTCCATTTTGTTGCTCCTCCAGTCAGAAAGAAACTCAGGCATATCCTCCCTGGCTACCTAGTTCAGTACAGGTGTTTGTTCTTCTTGCCTTGCTTGTAGCTGAAGATTTTGATTTTTATCTGTTTGCAGGTTGTCCTCCCTTACTGAGTATAATTGGGATCAGGAACTCCCATCACCAAGTGACATAATTATACAGTGTCATGTGACCCTGCCAACTTTAAAAAAGCAGGTCTAGCAATGTCACTTGCTATTGTTAGACGAATCCCGTGCAGTCAGAGCATCCTGTGTTTATGTGATTGCAATTTGTAACTTCCCGCTGGCTTCCCCATTGATTTTGCTTGTCAGAAGCCGGCAGTGAAAGTTGCAAGTGATGACCACATGGCTGTGGGATGCTGAAAAATCATAACTGCAAAGTCAGTAGCCAGGTGCCCAAATCGTGATCACATGACCCTAGGGAAGACTGCAATAGCGCCAACTATGAAGAGTAGTTCTAAGTTCCCCTTGTTCAGTACCGTCATACCTTTGATTATTGAATGAGCGGGTGTAAGTAAGGGCTACCTGTGCTTGAATTTTATGTTGCTCTAATACAGCGGTTCTCAACCTGTGGGTCGCGACCCCATTTGGGGTCGAACGACCATTTCACGGGGGTCGCCAAACAACGCGATCCACCATTTTTTTTCTGGGGCGGCGCATAGGGGCGCTGCCGCGCATGCGTGCCACGCAGGGGGGGCATGGGGGCAGCGCCGCGCAGGGGCCGGCACCACACATGCGCGCTGTGCAGGGGCGCCGCCGTGCATGCACGCCACGCAGGGGGCGCCGCTGCGCATGCGCGCCGCCTGCTTATGACCGGGGTCGCCGTATAAAAAGGTTGAGAACCACTGCTCTAGTATTATGAACTCCTTGCCTTATGCTGTTACATTTCATACTTTGTTATATAAATTACATTTTACATTTTATTTTACTACTCACAGAGTGATACATACATATGCATGTGCACACACACACCAGTTTGTGAGTTTTAGCTTTTTCTTTTGCTGGCCTTTTGGTGGTAATTATTTGATTTGATTTTCAACTAAATCTTCTCTATTGATTAGCCTCACGTCAAAAATGGTTATCCTCTGGTATTATTCAGTTGCTATATTTCAGATTTTGGGACAAAAATAGGTCAGCCGTCTGGCCATTGGCTTTGAAAGTCTTGGAACTCAAAACAATGTCAGCTGAAGTTATGTCCTCATCTGTCCATCCTTCTGGTTCATGGGAAGGGGGAAAGAACTGTTTTAAATAAATAGCTTGCCATAGCAATGTGTTGATGGAGAAGTTTTGATTTCTAGATTCTAATTTGACATATTTATTACCTACAGCTGGCACAAGGTGGGCTGCACGTTCCAAGGACGGGGGGGGGGAAGCTCGATTAGGCATCCCTTAATCTGAAATAGGCAAGGGATATATTGGAAAGGATTTTTTTGTGTGTGTAAATAGAAGGGGGGAAAACATACTTGGCTTATTCTCACATTACATTGTGATTTTATCAGAAACAACACATGGTCTGTATAGATTTCTTCGTATCACCAAGAGGCTCTTCCACATTTGGTCAAAAGCAGAATCTTATAAAAGGTTTCTCTCAGGGCTGGGTGATGTTATCACCAATGTTAATATCTAGATTTCATTAGTAAATCAGTAAAAGTAGAATTAATCAGAAACCTCTTATTATATGATGTCTGATTGAGTTTGACTTAGTCAGCGTGTTTTCATGTAAATGTTTACTTAAACTGAAGCTGTTTGAGGAGTTGCAAGATAAATGTAATTGTGAAAAACAACAACACTTGAATGGCAATATCTCTAGTTAAGATAAACTTTTGAAATGTAACTGTTTTGATTTGTAGTACTAATTACTTTAGGACCTCTTATTTATAAATAACCTAAGAGTACAGAAATCAGATTTGGGCTGAAAAACCCCAGTTGCCATTAAATGGCAACAGACCTTTCTACTGTAGATTGTTGTCTTTTGGCTGCTAGTCTAGTGGTCTGATACATTTTACATTGCAGATCTCGTAACCTTACTTAAAGGACATAGAAATGTAAGAATTGGAAAGGATTTAGGAGATTGTCTAGCGCACAGGTCGGCAACCTGCGGCTCCAGAGCCACATGCGTCTCTTTGAGCCTTCTCCTACAGCTCCCAGCCTCTTCTGCCATTTGCAGACAGAGAGAGAGGGGGACACTTGCGCTTCCCTTCTCTCTCTCTCTCTCTCTCTCTCTCTCTCTCTCTCTCTCTCTCTCTCTCTCTCTCTCTCTCAAAAAGAGAGTGGCCTCACCCTGTTCCAAGCTTATTGGGCGGGGCTCCTCCCTTTGCTATGTCTCTGCAGGAAGCAGGAAGGGGAGGAGAGAGCCAGCCTGTTTGCAGAACAGCTTGAAGAGAGAAAGAGAGAGAGAGCAAAGAGAAAAAGAGAGAGAGAGAAAGAGAGAGGGGGAGTGAAAAAGAAAGAGGAAAGAGGGAGAGGAGAAAAAGGGAGAGAGAGAGAGGGGGAGAGGAAAGAGAGAAAGAGGAGAGAGGAAAGAGAGAGGGAGAGGAAAGAGAAAAAGAGAAAGGGAGAGAGGACAGAAAGGGAGGGAAGGAGGGAGGGAGAAAGAGAGACCCTTTTGACATCTAAAATGAAGATAACACTGCATATATCCTTTTTTACCTTTATGATTGATATACATACACACACACACCCCTATAATAGGATATATGCAGTGTTATCTTCATTTTAGATATCAAAAGGGTTTTGCGGCTCCCAGTGTTTTGT